TTGAGATAATAGGGTTAGGGTTTCATTCTATAAAGCTCTCTTGAGGTGAACAAAGTGATCAATTTATAGATAAAATTATCTCAGTCTTGTATATGGCATATCAAATCTAGACCACCGAAAAGATTAGCTACACAATGTGTGTCACAGGACCCAATGCTCTCAACTATGCGATCGACGTTGCTGAGCCGTTTCCAATCCAATTTGCACCAAAATACTTGTTTTTCCTCTATGTGGAATCATCGCCCACTCTTACTTGGAGCTTTTTCCTTCAAATAGAGAACTTGAAAGTAAAGCAAATACAATGATTTTTAGATAACCCTTTCATTGAAAGCATGATTGAAAGAAGTATTTTGATGAAACTTGGTTGGAGGAGGCTTTAGGCAGTTAAGTCTATTAAAGGGAGGTTAACACTTTTTATAAGAGATGCTAACCTTGCTCATAGTATTCTCGATTAATGAATTCTATGTTTATGAGAGAACAAATAGTGTAGACCTATGCAAACGAGTAAAGCTTGGTTAAGTTTTTTCTAAGGGATTAGTTGAGTCTCCTATTATAGATGCTAACCCTCTTTCTGACTTAAAGAAAGTCTTGCCTTAGTATCTTTCCCACTGGGAGTTTCATGTAAACCTTTTCTCTTAGGTTTTTTTTAGTAAGTAAGGTTGGTTTAGTCTCTTTAAATGCCTGAATCATGAGACTTTATTATATTTCCCACTGGGAGTTTCATGTAAACCTTTTCTCTTAGGTTTTTTTTAGTAAGTAAGGTTGGTTTAGTCTCTTTAAATGCCTGAATCATGAGACTTTATTATAGACTATGCCCATTTCTTAGTCTAGTTTCAGTAATTCAAAATATAGTTCCCCTTTCCACTTGATACCTACAATTTTTGGGTGCCAGTCTCCGAACATGGGATATTCTATGGTTTAGGTATGGACTATAGTTCACTATGTCCTATAGGTCCCTAAGCTAATGTGCTTCAAGGTTAAGGGACTTGAGCATAAAATCCATTATAGAGAGAGTGTCTCTAACATGAGTGTATGTATCAAGATTCCCAAAAGACAATTTAAGATTTAAGGGCAATATTTCACATTTATCCCCATTGATGGGGATGACTTTGGTTCATGTCAAGAATCATTTAGATCATTTATTAATGGCCACTGGATTGGCACAATGGAATAAGAGATTAGTTCTATGGAAATGAATTGAGTCTCAATCTTTCTCCAAGTGGGATGCTATCAGGAAAAAAAGGTTCTTGAAAATTAAGAAATCTATCGATAGAACTAAAGATAAGAGAAATATTCGATTGGAAGAAAGTGATTCACCTAAATTAGGGTGTGGAATATGATCATATATTATCACTTATGTTGAGAATGATGTCGATGTGCATCACATTTGCCATTGTAGTAAGTTAGGCCCTTGAACTTTATCATAAGGCGCTTCAAAGACATTCCTTGCAAGGATCTGTATCGAGAATAGTGGGATGATGATGGCATTATGAGACGACAAGTTCCTAATGGTATAAAATAACAAGAAATAATTGATACCACTAAAGAGTAGTTGTCCTCTGATCTTAATCTATAGGAAATGGGCAAAGTACATCATATACTCAATGTAAGATCAAGTACAATCATTCTAAAAGATTCCTTAACTTTGTCTTAAGTGAATTATATTATGAAAATCTTAGAACGGTTTAAGATGCATGATTGTGGGCACATCGTTGCTCCAGTCAAGAAGGGTCATATGCTTAGCCTGAATTTTTGTCCATATAAGGAGGTTGATAAATGAAAAAGATTATTTGCGTACCCTATGCAAGTATAGTATATAGTTTTATATATGCTATGTTGTAATGTGACATGATGTGTTGTAGGACTTGTCCAGTTGAGACTAAAGTTATCTAGTTCTGGAAGATTTACAAGATATGAACATGATACTTTGATTTATGTCGAGAACCATTGACTAATCATGGACCTTTCTGAGAAATGATCTCATATTTCTGAGGTAGAGTAAATCTAATTGGATGGGAGATATTGATAGTTATAAAATATCTACACTCTAAAAGAGAGTAATTTCTTGATGTAACAAGAAAGCAAAATGACCGGCATGTCTTTTATGGAGTCAGAGGAGACTGATTGTGCAACATTAGAGGACAACATGTAGCTCAATTATATCCTTCAAAACTTAGGGATCACATTGAGTGTTGAAGAGCCTGTAAGAATGGTTTGTGACATCATGATATCATTGGCTTTCATAAGGAATCCCAGGAATCATAGCAAGACATCACCATAGAAATTAGGTATCACTATGTGTTAGGTCTTATTAACGAAAGAAATAGTCATGACATGTAATCCCACTAGCAGAATGGTTTCAGCCTCCATGACTGAACCTACATATGGTTCATCTCGAAGGGATTGGGACCTAGGGATCCTTAATTGGTTTCCTTTTCCACCATTATTGTCTGACTGTTTCCATACATGGATGTGACTTTGGATTTACTTTTACCATTAATTTCAGAGGTTTATGGTGTTTGGTTTAATCAATGCATACACACATAATTTGATTACACATTCACACTTGTGCATTAGGATATGTATTCATTTTGAGATAAATCGTTAGCAAGTTTGGTCTGCTACCCTTAGTGTCGGGGATATTGAAAGATGAGATGCGCACAAGGCGTATAATTATCGCCTCAATAAGTGATCAGTGAGAGATTCCACAGTTGGGAATCGATATAATCTATATGGCAGCTCACTCGATTATGTAGCTTAGATGATAACTAAGTGTGAGAATCAAAGATATTGAAGTTAGTCACATGGTTGAAACCTTGGATGCAGTGGTTGTGACAAAATACATGGTGAAGACTAAACTAAGACTTGCATATGTAAACCAATGTAGATCCTAGAATTTTTATTATTTACACCGTTGAGTGTGACTCATACCATACATATTTAGCGAAACCACCATTACTTTTATAGAGAGATGTATCATATGATTTCTATTCCCTATTACACCATGTGAGAAATAGCCAGTTACACAGTGACATTGTGTGCAATTAATAAACCATGAAACTATATTAGGAAGCGGAGGCTTAGTGGCACTAATTTAGCTTATCATCCCCACGGTCATTTATGACTCAGCTCAGCTAGGTAGAAGCAAAACTAGGAAAGGAATCAAGTCAAAATGGAATAATATGAGGGGTTGGAGAAAGGCCATGGTCACACTATGGCTAGCACCCTGAGAACCAATGCATACTATGATGCTCATGAAATGCACATCCATATAAAAGTTTTACAAAGAATGTTTGTTTGTAAAATTATTTTTCCAAAAACGTATAATATAATGCAATATGTTATATTATTTGCAAATGCAACAATGTTTTAATAGAAGAGTTGGACATGTATGCACAAAGGGATCGAGTAAAAGCTTGAGCATAGAAAGTTCATAAGCGATTAATTGCGATACTCAATCTAGTGTGCTCAGGAAGGTTTGGGGCACACTGGAGCGGTTTTTTTAATAAGAGTGAAGAGATGTTTCAAGTTAGTTTGATGGAGACTTAAAGTACTTTTCTCTATAAAGATCCATTACTCTTTGAGGTCTCACAACGCATTTCCTGATAGAGTATGTGAGAGTTCTTGTATTGTTCTATTATGAGATGATGACAATAGGGATACACATATTTTTGTGTACCTACTACGGGATGAATGGGAAATATTGGATGAAGAGTCCACCATTTGTGGGTATAGGGGCTCCATAGAATTTTTTATATATTTAGAGAGAAGGACATACATGGTATTGTTGGATTTATTTATGGTAAAGAGAATGAGACGAAATTTCCATGTGATATAGATTTCTAATCGGAAATAAAGCTAGCAAGATAGAATATTTTCCAAAAAAAACAAAAACTCATCTTTTGAATGGAATTCCCTCATAGGATATTCCTATGAAAAGTGGTCGAGAGAAAAAAAAATTTAAGTCTCCCATGGGAGGGAGTTAGATATATCAAAAAGGAGTTTGTCTCAACATCAAATGCTCGCCTCTCTTCTCCTAGTTTTCTTTCTGGAAATCATATAGTTAAAAAACCCATGTTGGTGATTTAAAAACTCTAAGGCTTTTCATCAAAGGCTTGAGACTTATGGTATCTGTATTATTATACTTTTTTCTCGTAATTTAAAGTTGGTCTAAGATTACAACCATCAAATCCTAAATCCAAAAGAATGGTGTGTAAAAAAAAAGGGAATGCTCAACACAAACTGTAAGAGCGAAATTGGATTAAAGAAAGGTTTATTATATCTATCTGATCCACAAGTTTTTGTGCGTTTTGTGCATTGAGATTCACCCAATGAATCCAACACAAATGTTTACAAATCGACAAGGTTTGCTCCACAAAGTTTCAAATTTTATAATAAGAGGTGAGAATAGATTTCCGAGCAACATAAGTGTTTCATGCGTAGAACTGCATTAGCCGCTTACTTTATAGCATAAAACTTACGCCTTATGCCATTTCAAAGCAATTAATTTACTAAAATCATGACGATGAATTATCCGGTACCCTATTATTTTATAATTTATAACTATTTACCTTGGTAAAACATGTAACAAGGAAGAAACCAAACATTTTAGGGAAAAGTTTATATAAGGTTGCAACCTTAAAATGTAGAATTAAAGGTGCACATCAAAAATTCATCATAAAAGGTTGTTTGGATGTTGGAAAACCCCCTAATCGATCAACTCGACATCAAGATATATGAATATGAAAAGAAAAAAATATATCGAAAGCACGAAATAGTGTATCTTGCAACATATTATTTGGACCGTCTATTTTTAAGATTTTCATATGTTTATAGATCTACTTGATTTGAACCATTTTTAGAATTTAACATTTTATAATTAAAAATGAAAATAGATTCTCAAACCATCCTTTAAAAAATTGTATATCAAAATTACATTATGATAAAATTTAGAGGTGCGCCCTTAATTGGTTGAAACCTTTTGCAAACCACGCCCAATATTTTAATCTTTCCATCTTTTATTAGCTACACAAGTTTTCTCCCCAGAGCATCCTACTATTCTCCAAGACACCTACCTACTCATCACTGCCCCCCTGTCAATAGAAAACATAATGTTGTTGTATATTCTATTTTACACGCATGGACCGAGCAAATTGACCCACTCGTTTCCTTATCTCATCTGGATTCGCCCCAACCAATTTATCCACTTGCATCCCATCCTTGAGGAACATAAAAGTAGGCATCGCCTTTACTTCCATTTTTGCAGCAACACCCTAATTTGAAAAATCATAATGTATTTAGAATATAAACTCAACGAAAAAAATAAAACATGTTTTGGTTACGTAAAAGAAGGTAACTAAAAAATAAATAAATAAATAAAAAAAAAAGGAGACATACCTTTACTTCATCTACATCCACCAAGAGGAATAGAATATCATCATATTTCACAGCAAGCTCCTCAAACAAGGAATTCATGGCAATGGAAGGCGCACACCACGATGCGCTAAAATGAACCGCAATCTAAGAAAGCAAAAAAAAAAAAAAAAAAATTCTCAAAATTATGTGACAGTTGCATCATAAAACAAAAATATGAAAATATTAATATAAAAATTAAAGTCCCAAAATTAAGTGAATCCATGAGTGCTTTTCTTTCTCCTTCCTAGATAATAACGCTCTATTTAGAGGACTCACAGGGCAAGCTTGAGCTTGGGCTTTTGTAAGTAAATATACCCATGCATCATTTGAGTCAACTTTGCGGACCTTTGATCCTTCAACCTGCACTTGGGTTTGGGCATCCATTTTCCAGTCTCGAGCGAGCTATGAGTTTACAAATGCCACTTTATATATATACAGAGACTACCGGTTGAAGAGGGCTGGATTTAAAAAATCCAGGGGAGCACCTAGTTTAGTAAGAATGGCCTCTCTCTCTCTCTCATCCTTATCCTTAATGTCTTATTTTAGTTTCTTTCTCTCTCGTCCTTGTCCTTCATGTTCTCTCTTTCATCCTTTACCCTCATGTTTTATTATGAATTTAATGGTCTACCGATTGAACTTGGTCCTTTTGGCGGTATACATCACTGTGTGGATAGATATAGGTCATCATTCTCGTCTCCTCTGTCAAACTTGTTATAATTTGAGGGTTAGCACCAAGTGGGGCATCCGTGGGGCCAGAACTGGCCCAATCCCCACTGAGATCAAGCTCAAGAGGCCCTGGCCTATTCTTGGCCGGGGGACCTTGGTAGGTCGCCTAGAATTGCCCTCGGCCCAGTTTGAGGTAGGCCAGCCATTGCCCTTGGCCTAGGGCAGCCCCATTGGCCAAGGTGGCCCCTAATCGTTTTAGTGTTGGACGAGCTCGACCGGGTTAGGCTGTCAGGCTCACAACCGAGTTGAATAACTTGGCCGAGTCCCCGGACGCCCGCCAACTCATGCCGAGGGCTGGATATTTGATAGCAAAAAGTTACGGGGAGGAAAAAAGAACTTCCTTATTACTATACAACTACCGTGTTTGATGCAGGATCGGTAAATAAATTCCCCCATAACTTTCTTACACCCTTGTGCTTAAGAAAAAACAGTTCTAACTAAAATAATAAAACTTAAAATAGGAACTTAGCCGTCCAAAAGGGTTTTTTCCCCGAACCCTATTTTGCCTTATTCCTTATACTTATATTTATATTTGTATTGTTAATTTATATTTTTAATATATTATATTACATATTATATATTATATATTTATATTTATATTATATTATGTTATGTATTATGTATATTATATATAATATTCATTTATTATATTATATATAATACATATATTCATATATTATATATTATATATTATATATTATATATAATATATTATATATTATATATTATATATTATATATAATACACTATATTCAGTGTTTGAATAATCGGCGATCCGTATTGAAATTGTCCGATCTGGATTGGATATCGTCCAAAGCGATCCAAATCTAGTATTATATCGGAATCCAAAAGAACCAGATTTTTTATATTATTTTAATGTAAAATTTTCCTTTTCTAACACCTTACACGTCTACAACAAGTACCTAGTACCTACAAACCACCACCATAATGAGCCAATGTTTACATTATTTTTATATGAATTTCTTACATGTCTACCACAAGTACCTAGTACCTACAAGCCACCTCTATAATGAGCACAAGACTTTATCTATGGAAAAACAAAACAAGTTTTTTATGGCTATTTCAGCCATTAATCATCGGATATGGGACTGTCCATGCTTGCTTTTCAAGTGTGATGGAAGACTTATGCCATTTTTTCTCTAGCTAGTTCTTCTACTTGATGCCTTTTTTTGTTTTTTTCTATCACAGAAATAAACATGATTGAATTGTGGCAATGTCGAGCAATGAACAAGCCGCTTTTTTATTTTTTTAATTTTATAATCTTTATTTTTTCTAGTTTTTTAGGTTATTTTGTTTTGTTTTAATATCATAATATTAAAAATTTATAAGGGGGTTCTATTATTTGTTTTAATCCGTACTTACCCAAAAAAAAGAAAAGAAATGGAATTGTTTTCTAATAATTTTGAAATCATGTTTATTATAATATTATAATTAATAATAATATAGACATCCAGACAGAAAAACAACGTCACAATATTCATCTATTTTTACACAGTAATGAGAATACATAATGCATCAGTTTCCAATTTCTTTTAGAAACTAAAAGAACACCATTTTTAAATATTCATATTGATTTTTTAAAAAAATATTTTCAGACAAAATTTGTTGATTTGTCCGATTCTCCTAATTTATTGTTAAATTTTTAGATTTTTAAATTAGATAATATTATAAGACAAATTTCAAATTTATTTTTATTTGTATAGTAAAATGATGATAAAATAATAAAATACATACCAATAATTCTAATTTCAATATATAATATTGTCTTTAGTTAGATTTTAGTAAATATTTGACAATAGGGAACAAGCATCTCAATATTCGCATATTGATGAAATAAAATAAAAGTTAATAATGTAGTACCCCCATTTCTTATTGAATTCTTAAAAAAAAATATTTATAATGAATTTTAATAATTCTTTTGGATTTTTTTTAAGGCTTAATCCGATCGATTCGGTCGACTCCCGATCCGGATCACCGATTCACCGATCCGGATGGGTTTTTAGGGTGCCTGATCGGGGGCACCGATCCAGTTTTTAAACCACTGGCTATATTATATATTATAGGGTGCGGATTGTATGGAGCCGAGGCTCTAAATAATTGAATTAGATCTCACCTTCAAATAATATCGAGAAATGTGGTTTTAATAATAGAAATATTTGTGATAGCCTTAAAATATATTTTCATTTTTAGTTATAAAGTTTAAAGCTTCAAAAATAGTGTAGATCAAGCAGATCTATGAAAACTTGAAAATCATGAAAATTGACGGTCCAAAAATGTGTTACAATATGCACTATTTCCAAAACTTGAAATCCATTTTTTTCTCATGTCCATGCATCTTGATGTAGAGATAATCAATTTGAAGATATTTCAGCATCAAAACAACATCTTCTAGTGAAATTTTTGAAGTGAGCTCTAATTTGGTTGTTTAGAGCCTATAATGTATATAAACGTTTTTCTATATTATATTATGTTATATATTATATATTTATATCTAAATTATTAATATATATTTGTATTATACATAGTTATAATATATTTTATGATATCATCATCATCATCATCATTACCATTTCCCAATTCATTGGGGCCGGCAACACAAATCCTAGTCTGTCATTCTGCTCTATTAGAGACCATATCCTCAGTGAGGCCATAAGTTCCAATATATTTTTGGACTACTACCAACCTCATCCTTTTGGGCCTACCCCATGCCCTTTTCAGTCCTTCTACTTGAACTAACTTGTATCTCCTAACATGTAGTTGGTCGTGGCCTGATTTTCTTTGGGTCCCTCACGCGGGGGCGCAGGGAGAAGATCCTCTCTCAAACAACTGCCAAAGGCTCACGCGCATGGCGCGTCAGGTGACGCAAGCATGCTAGCTCTCTAGAGGTCGGATAGGCTACTAACAAAGAGAGAGATTTTACGAAGGGGAAGGGTTGATGAGCTTACCTTGTCGTTGCGGGTTCGTGGGATATGTTCGGGCAAGTCGCCCTCACCAGCATGTTTTAGTCAGGGACTCTCTTCAGACGCTACAACCCTCTTCTCTCCGCTCAAGTCTAGGTTCCGATGATTTCTTGATTCTTCGTTCCGAGGCTGGCTTTCTTTTTGTTGCTTCAACAAGCGAGTGGGGAACTTTGTTGTTCTTATCAACCTGTCAAAGCGAGAAGGGGGATTAGACACGAGCACGCGTCGGTTCGAAACCTTTTTGGTTTGCTCGGGGTCTGCACAGTCTTGCACGTGCGTGGGATTACGCTTGTGGGAGAAGAAGAGAGAAAGTTTTGGAAGCGATAAACCTGTTTAAGAAGAGGGAAGTGCATACCCGTACCGTCAGGGGTATTTCCCTCTCTTGTAAAAGTTATCTCTCTCCTCTCCTTGGGACACTAGGGCTAAGAGGAAAAACAAGCAGAATAAAGCATAATGCCTCTTCTTTATTGAATTGTAACCCCTTTTTACAATTGACTTAAGCCTGTTTATATCTAGTTTTCCACAAAAAAAGGTGGATACTAAAAAACTAAGCCTAAATACAATTAAAAATAATTAAAATAAGGTCCCGAAATTGAGTTCAATGATAAAATGCTTTAAAACTCTTTTGCACATATGAGAAACTCGTCCTTCTCTGAGGAGCCTACCGCCATTGTCAGAACTTTGAGAGTTCTTTCTGGGTACTTGCCATATCTGATGGGTTGATCTATTGTTATATTCTTAATGTTCGTTTGCTTGTGATCGTTTTGATCCCTTTTGATCGTTTTGCGGCAATCTCCTTCGTGAGTGGAGGTACTCAGTTGGTTTTTTTGCACTCTTTGATGATCTCTGTTGTGTTTTTGAGTCGATTGTGAACCTGGAGAAGGTTATCTTCAAGTGTTTTGTAAGACGTTTGCTTTACTTTTGCATTATTTCTTGGACTTTTGATGGATCGTTGGGAAAATATTTTTCGGCGATGGGGATCTTCTTGTTTTTATTGTTGTGACCATGGGTTTCATACCTTTCTCTGATTTGTTTTGGATGCTACTTGTTGTGTTTGACTTGGGTTCTCTTCCTGAAAGTATGCCTTTCTCGGTATGTGGTCGAGTTCTCTCTGCGAGGGGCTAAGATGTCCATCTGAAGATTCTGGCGTCCATGCATTCAGGCCGGCTTTTCTTCTCTTTCGTGGAGGAGGCTTGTCTTTCGTTCTTGTTCGTCAGAGGGAGGGATTTCATCAAAGCTTTTAATTGGTATTTGAGGCTTTTAGCTACTCTTCTACTGCAAGGAAGAAGCTGTGAGCTCGTTCAAGGGTGGGCGAGGAATAGCCATGGTCGTCGACTAGTTTGGTGAGCACGGCAGAACGCGTGCCTCTTTCCTACTTCTCGATGGTCCTGGTTTTGGGCCGCTTAGTCAGTCTGTTTGAGTCCAGCCGTACTTCGTTTTCTTGAAAGATGATGATGGTCGTCTGGCTTGCCTATCCAGCTCATATACATGCGGTGGTGGGGATAAGGCTTCGAGTGGGCATCTTTATTCTTTAGTCATCTTTATTCGAGGCTTATTCCTTCTGTGGCTACTGTTTTTGCACAGCTATGTCCTGTGTGTCGTGGTGACCGTGTTATAGCCGACTTTCTTCCTTTATTTGATTGAAGGGATGAGGTGCGTCAAACATGACGTATAACAACTTGCTCCGATGGATGTCATGTTTCGAGAGAGGTGAGAAGTGCAACTGGTCAGGTGCCTCGATCTGGCCCTTCAGGTCGGGGATGACCTGGTGGCACATATCT